ATGGATGATACTTTGGTTACTCCGGACAATGACACGACACTTTAAAGTTTGTTATCTGACTCTGCTCCTAAAACTAGAGGAAGAGACATGACTAAACTTGCTCGTCCCTAGCTACTTGTTTTCTGCAAATTTTAATTTTTTGAGTCTATCTATATCTTTTAGCTGGGATATTACTGTACTTGGTATCGTGTGGGTAGGGTGCCTCTAGTATGTACTCTCATACAACCTTCATGTATATTCTTTATTTCAATAAAATCAGCCCTTGGGCTTTTCAAAAAAAAAAAAAGTAATATATACATACATATATATATATATATACATACATATATATATATATATACATACATATATATATATATATACATACATATATATATATATATACATATATATATATATTGAAGTTTTGGTGTTAGACATGTGAATGCATAGGAACTGAGTGGTATGTATGCAAATCTTCTTATTTAAATTTGGATAAATTATGCGGGAGCGTCTTCCCCTTACAAGCGGGACGTTGGACGCAAGAGTGAGTCACGACTCCCACAGTCGCGTGAAAAGTGAATCGCGACTCCTACAGTCGCGTGAAAAGTGAATCGAGCTGTCTTTTTCATTTTCCTTCCAATTTTAGTTAGTTTCTTCATTTCCTTTCATTCTTTTCTAGTCCATTCATATATATATATATATGTGTTGTATTAGGGTCTAGACGGGAGTTTTGTTGGCATGAGTTTATTTAGGGCCGCCTCCGTCGTTTGTTTTCTCTTTTTGAGTGAGATATCTAAGGGATTGGGCTGCGCTCTGGCTATATCTTTTTCCCGAGGTGATGATTATCTTACCCTACCCCCATCCGCATTCTCCCTCCCCCTGCCCTCCATCCCTCCCTCCTACTGTTGCTGCTCAGAACAACCTCTTTTGGTTGTTTTTTGCTGTTCCTTTATCATAACCTCCCTTCCTAGCCACGCTGCCATCCCGCGCAGTCGCATCAATCCTTCCCCGACCTTCCCGCATCACTCCCAGTCTCCGACCCTCGCTGTCATCATCCAAAAAACAACAAATTTGTTGTTTTTCTATTGTCCACCCATCATCCGACTTGTTGCCGTCTGAATTGCAACCTATCTTATTGTTCTTGCAGTCCTCGCTTGCTACCCGGGCACTAGAGAACACTCCTTTTGCTGTATTGTAGTCCCACCCTTCGCTTTACTGCCTCATATTGTCACAACCCTCCACTTCACTCCCAACACATTTCCAACCCGTCCTTTTGCTGCCTCAACCATCCGCAACCCATTTCGGCCACCTACCTCCGCCCCCTCGACCTCCTTGTCGACTTCCACCACCCCGAGATCGAGTCCTAGTGTGAGTTTTTGTCATTTTTTGTTGTAATTTCCTTTTCAAGTGTATTTAATTGCAATTGCCATTTTGCTTTTAGTAATAATATTTGCTTTTTTTATTGTGGTTTTGGGTTAATTCTTGTATTATTTGGTATCAGAGCTAGCTTAGCCATAACCCTGTCTTAGGATTTCTAGTATCCACTATACCCAAGCCGATATTCACCCATCCAAATTTTCTTTCCCTTCCCTACATCACATCTCATTACACACCTCTTTTCACCTGCACACTCCCAACTAATCATACCTTCGAGAAGTTAAGTGCCGGACGTCAATCAGGAGTTTACCATGGAAGAGATACAACGAATTTTTTATCGAGGGCTACAACGACTCGATCATTGAGATGAAGAACAACTATCTCGAAGATGTGGCATGAAATATTGGAGAAGCCAGAATTTTTAAGTAAATGTTTTCGACGGCCTCATGGGTTTGAACGAGATCATCGAGTGGATTTGAACCTTGAACTATGCTTTTGAGTGCGAGGACGTTCTACTGGACAAAATGGTGAAACTAACCGCCATCAAGTCAAGGAAGAGTGCGTCTCAATGGTGGGCGAACTTCAAAGTTCTTTTACAACAAGAAGTGAACATTAAAATTACTATATGATCTAAGATGAAATGTGATATACAATGTCAGTACTTGCCTACTCACTTCAGACCAGATCCCCAAACGCCATTTTTAAAAGTGAAGAGACCACATCACCGTGCGACCGCTACTTCTTACAAACAGGGTTCAACCGCAGGATCGTACAACTAGAGTACACCTAAGGAAACATCCAAGCTGATCCCGCCTAAGCAGTCACTAGTTCAGAGTGGAGAGCAGAGGGAACCAACATGCATTTCCGAACTCATCCTAGCCATGAAGTGTTTCAAATAGCATAGATTTGGTCATATTGAATCAAATTGCATAACTAGAAGAATGATCTCTTTCATTGATCAAGGTGCAGTTGAAGTAATACATAATATGGTCTAGGAGAAGATGAAGATTTCATAAAGGATTCTCAACTTTCAGTAGACGAGGAAGAAACACTAGTGATTCCAGCTGGACCATGAAGAGAGACTCCAGATGAATTAACCTTGGTGGTGCTAAATGTTAACAACTTTAAGGCAATGGGCGTTCATGGTTCCTCAAACTATATTATTGTAGGCGTTCATAGGAGCATCTGCAGAAAGAGTCATTAGTTTGATGGGCCGATACCTGACACAGGGCAACTTTGGGTAAGATTAGAATTTTCAAATATATAGCCCACCTCTTAGTTGCCCCCGCCGAGGCGGTCCAACATATCAACGATGAGAATCTCTTGAGCTACTTCTAGAAGACCATATGGAGTTATTTGGGTAGTACAGTTACTTCAGTAGTGTACCCACAGACATTTGATCAAACAAGAGGGATGACTTGCAGTGTTAGAAATTGTCTTAGGAACTTAGCGGGGAAGAACATTATATAGTGAGATCTAGGTTTTTTCAGACAAGAAGAAGAATAGAACTCACCTGAGTGGTTGCTATTTATAGTTGCTCAAGCTACCATAGATTTCATCCCAGAGTTGATTCTTTCTTACTTACTTGTTTACTGGATACACTCAGGCGAGTACGAGGAGTGTAAGAAGCCATTGACAAATTTGATAACTCAAGACTTGATTCATGATGGTGCCCATCCACAGACAACTCCAACTCAAGTTTTGCCAAAAAGAATGGATACTTTTTTATGCTAGGATGTGCTTGGAACAGTAACGCCTACAGGATTGACATAATAGGAGATTCCTATATTCCTACTACATGCAACATGCTTAATCGACGAATGAAGTCGAAGCTCACCCAACCCCGGGAGACTAACATTAGAACGTCTCCCGCTTACGAGTGTGATGTGGGAGCGAGCTGCGGCTCCCGCGGTTGCGCAAAGATTGAACCTAGCAACCATTTTTTTCGTTTCCTTTCCAATTTTGCCAGTTTCCTCTTTTTTTTTTTCATTTCTTTCTCTTTCCTATACATGTGTTGTATTAGGGTTATGGATAAGAGATGTCATTTTCTTGTTTGGTTCTCTTGTCATCATGTACTCTTGTTTGAATTTTCAATCAATCGAAGCAGAGTTCGACATCGAATTGAACTTTAGTAGCAGCTTCACTCGAGTTGAATAGGGAAGTTTGTGTTGGATTGAAGAGGCATTATGATGAGCCCAAAAAGTGATAATTTCCTTGGAAGGTCTTTTATTTATTGAGATTTGGGAATTATCTAAATAGAATTTTTATCTCTAATTACAAGCTATATTTTCTTATTTTGACGTAAATATTTGGTGTAATGCCTGTATTCTAGCGTGGTCCATGCACATACATTAAGTGGCAACTTGGACTTAAAAGGCTAGATTTGTGAAAAAGTTATTAAAAGAATCAAAGTAAATGCTTTTTAAATCTATTTTCAAATGAAGAAAGAAAATTTTTAGAGTTCTATGATTACGAGGCACTTATGATACAATGTTTTTCCTAATATTGGCAAGGTAATCTGTTGGTCAGTACGTCGTAGAACTTAGCAGATAGTTGCAGCATGATATTTTGAAATTCAAAATATTTAGGGGCATTTATATAACCCACATTTCTTTTATATTTAAATATCTAACACCTAAACTTTATTTACATTTATACCACACAAATCTCGATGACACATAAAAATGTGACCATTTGTCTTAAAATGTGAAATATCCCTTTTCATGCGCAGGTATGGTGTCATATACATAAAACGTTGAAGTTTAGACGATATATATGTAAATACTTAGGAATTAAGTCGTATTTATGAAATCTTTAAAAATTTTATCATAAAACCTACCAGTCCTATTTAGTAACTGGCTTTGATTCATACTATAATATTGTCAACATGACACGTTGGGCTAAATTATTTGTATCATAATATTTTTTGAAAACTGGCGAGCATATAAATCTAATAACGTGTCATTTTTATTTTTGTCCGTTCATACCGGAAGAAGATAGCTTGGGAAAACAAAGAGGGTGCAGATTGTGGTTGGCCTTACTGCATTAGGGATTTATGGCTGTATGATGAATGTATTGTCTAAAATAAAGTAGGCTTATGATTTGATCCTACACTTTATCTGCACCAAATGATTTAGCATACTTCTTTGCTGCAAGAGAAAAGAGCGATAAAATGAATAATCCTAGAAAAAAGTGACTCATGCGGAGTGCTATATGATTTTCTTGGAGTCATTTACACACATAGCCGTATAGCACACAATTCTTATGTATTTACATATCTCATACCTATACTTTAATATATACAAATAACACTCAAATCTTTAATATAACATTAAAAATAACACTATTACCACTTTTTAGAAGTGAAATATTCATTTTCATGCATAGCTCTAAAACACGAATGTTATTGTATTTAAATATGAAATTTAGGTGTGATATATGTAAATAAAAGAATTGTGCACTACATTTGTAAATTTTCAATTTATTTAATGCACTTCATATGTTTTTTTGTTGTTGATTCTGTGCAGTTTGTTATTGTAATCTGAAATCTCATTAAAATTTATTTTTATTGTCACCTAATTATGTGTAATCTTTATGGCAATTTTCATTAAATTTTACCATTAAAACTTCGAAGTTTGTAGGTAGTTGTGGTTGATCTTGAGTATAATCGCATCACAACATCAGAAGATATACCCCCTATACCGGATCTTGAATTAAGTTTCTTGCGTAGTGAGTTATTGAGGCTGCTGCATCCTAATATTATCAGCATAGATCACATGAAGATCAACCTGGCTGGGATGGCTGACCAATATGCAAAAACATGCAACAGAACTTGGGGAGAAGAGCATGATTTTCAACTTAGGTATGGATTTCCACTGCTTCATCATTTTTAACACACTTCTGTAAATTAGATGGGTTCCCTGGCTATCAAAATTTCTATGGCAGTTTTCATGGGTATTGATAAGTAGATTTTCTGCTCATTGTATGATATCTCAAATCTACTGTGTGGTATTTGTTGAATAATGCATTGAGTTTGGTTCGAAAGGAGAAGGGTGGTCTGCTGTTGAAAGTGGAGATGAAGAAAAATGAATTTGTTAATGAAAAATGTGTCTGATACTGGAGGTAACCCAAACCACGACTCAACCAACATGAATTTTATTACTGAATTGAAAATGTATATGATGAGTGAAACACAAGCAAGTAAACTATATAGAAAGATGCACCGTTTTAAAAATTGATAAGAAATGAACAACATTAAAGAGAGCTGAAACAGTCCTGGATGGTGCTTAAGAGCGACAAAGCATTCACCGGAGGGTATGGAGGAGAGTCGTTTTCTGCTAGGAGGTTGTTGGATGAAGCTTCAACATTGGAGGGCGGTGGAGGGTTTGCGGTTGATGTTCAACGACGATCAGAAGGAACTGGAGAGTACTGTTGGTTCGGCCACTTGCTGGGAAGGTGGGTGAACGGGACAGCGGAGATGGAAAGTGAAGGGGGGCTAGTGCAACACCCTGTGGCTCTTTGATTCTGCTGAAGGGCATCGACTACTGAAGGAGGCTAGCATGCTATAGAGATTGGAGCAGTCACAGGGAGGTGGATGGAATGGGTCAGAGATACACCGCCTTGATGAGATACAGCCGTAGCACAACTCGCGAAGGATACAACCCTCAGATGAAGGAGACACCAAGAAAATCACTTGAATCTGAAAGTAACAATAAAACAAAAACTAGTCAGGGTTTGAGCCAAGACACATATAAATAGGGAGAGGATTAGCAGCTAGCAATGGTAAGGAAGGGGAGGACATGGTAGGAGATGGAGAGGGGTGTTGCAGCTACTAGGAAGAGACGGAAGATTAGGGCGTGGGAGGCGTCGGTCGCAGAAGGTGAGCCGGGTGGGAGGAATGATCACGAAAACATAAGCTAGGGGGGATCACGAGTATTCTAATAGGAGTGAACCGGTCACAGGAGGGGGGACCGGTTGATGTCACGTCCATTCGAGCGTTTGAGGAAGAAGCCCTGGGTCAATCTCTTGGGGGTGGGGGGGGGGGGACTGCGCCCGACTTGGGCAAGGCGGTGGGGGTGGGGGGGGGGGGACTTCGACCTCATTTGGCAAAGTTTTTGGGTCCTTGTAGTATGAAGTGAGATCCGCGACATTGAATGTTGCTGAAATTTTGGAGTCTCCCGTTAGGTCAATTTTGTATGCGTTTTTGTTCATTCGGAAATGTCCATTGGCTTTTGGGTTGAGTTTGTTGTAAGCTCCTACAGAAAATTGTTCTTTCTTAAGTTGTATCCACACGAGGTCGCCTTACTGGAATGTCTCATTTGTTCTTCACTTATTTGCTCATGATTGATATTTGTGGTTTTGCTTAGAAATTGCTTTCTCCATGTCCTCACGTAGTTGCTAAGTTTGAAAAATACCTTCTATAACATACTTGCTGATCTCTTTGGGCGGTAAGAGTGGGACCAACTAAAGGGGTATGATTGAGTTGCGACCGTATACAATTTTGATTGACGCGTGCCTTGTGGTCTGATTTACTGATCTATTGTAGGCAAATTTGGCTTTAGGGAGAATGATATCACATTGTTTGATATTTTTCCCTACGAAGCATCAAATAAGATTTCCAAGGCCTCTATTAACTACTTCAGTCTGACCATCAGTCTGAGGATGTGCTGCAGAGCTAAATTGGAGTTTTGTGCCTAATTTGCTCCAGAGTGTCCACCAGAGTGGCTCAAAATTTTAACGCACCGATCGGAGATAATGTTCTTGGGAATGCCGTGAAGTCGAACAATCTATCTTAAGTACAAATTGGCAATATGAGATGTGTCTAAGGTCCGGTGGCATGCTAAGAAATGCGTCATTTTGGAGAAACGGGCAACTGCTACCATGATTGAGTCCTTTTTTCTTTATGTGCGTGGGTAGTCCTATGACAAAGTCCATGCTGACATCGACCTAATGTGCTTCATGGACTAGTAAGGATGTGTATAATTTGGCATTTTGGTTGCGTATTTTGTCGATAAGATAAATTTTACAATATCAGACGTGTTGCTCTACGCTCGTGTCAGTCGGGGCAAAAATAAAACTTCTTTCTCTAGTGCGGGAGTTTTATCTCTACCAAATGACTGACTAATTCGCTACTATTATTCTCCTGGGTGATAGCTTCGCTTAGTGAGCATAAGGGATCACAAAATTTGTTGTGGTGTAACAAGTAGCCGTCCGTTTGGTAGAATTATCGGTGAGGTTTCACCCGACACTATTTCCAGATTTTCTGGAAGCCTTCATCAATCTCATATAAGTTTGTTATAACTTCAAAGCCTACAACATGTGTCATCAAAGGTGTGATCAGAAGTTGACGACTTTTAGAGCGTCGGCGATGCGGTTCTGGTTTCCGGCTTTGGGCTTGAGTACGAATTAGAAGGACGCTAAAAATTCTACCCAAATAGCGTGGATCCCTTTGATCTTATTTTGACTGTTTAAAGATTTTAGAGCTTCATGATTCGTAAAGAGCGAAAACTCCGTGTTGAGTAGGTAATGACTCTAGTGTTCTAGTGCTCTAGCAATGACGTAGGATTCTTTGTCGTAGGTGGAATATTTTCGTCGAGTCTCATTTAGTTTTTCGCTAAAATAGGCTTTGAGGGGACCACCTTGACTTAGGGTAGTGTCGATGCCTACTCCGGGCGCATCACACTTGACCTCAAGAGTTGATCGAAATCAGATATGATAAGAACTGGGGCTTGTGTGACCTTTTTCTTCATGAGGTCGAAGCTGGTTTGGGTTGTGACCGTTCATGTGAACTCTTTTCGTTTCAACAGCTTTGTGAGCGGGGAGGTGATAGTGCTGAAGTTGCGGACAAACCTTTGGTAGAAAGTGGCTAGCCCCAAAAATTATCAAAGTTCGGTAAAAGATTGCGACGCGGTCCAACTTACGATTGCTTCAAATTTTGTTGGGTCTATTTGTATCTCCATGCTAGACACAATGTAGCCTAAAACAAATTTGTTTAGTGGAGAAATGAATTTTCTCAGGATGGGCGTACTGTTGGTCGGATTGTAAAACCTCGAATACCGCTCGTAGGTGCTCTTCTTCGGATTTACTATAAACCAAGGTATCATTGAAGTAGAACACCACGAATTTCCTAATGTGAGCTCGAAAGACTTGATTTATTAGGTGCATGTGGGTTGTCTTTCACTCCTGCCCTGGTCGCATTCTGATCTGATGATAACTACTTCATAGGTCAATTTTTGAGAAGACTGTGGCACCTTTCAACTGATCTAAAAGATCGAGTCGCGGTATGGGAAGCGATATTTGATTGTAATTTTGTTTATGATACGATTGTCAATGCACATCCGCCAGGAACCATCTTTCTTGGGTATTATAAGGGCGGGGATGACACATGGTCTGGTGCTTTCGCGAACTAATCCCCTCTTAACATGATCCTGCAACTGGTGTTGGAGTTCCTCGTACTCTGCGAGTTGTATTCGGTAGGTGGGTCTATGTGATACAACCGGGGGGTAATCCATCTGGGAGATCGTCGGTCATGATGTCATGGTAATCGTGTAAGGGTGGTTTAAGTTGGGTGGGTATCTCATTATTTGTGCCTGTACCTTCTAGGAGGACCGAGCTAGTGCTATCGAAGCATCATGAGCCGATTGCAGGAAGATGACCCGTGAGATTAAGGCATCTTTGATGTTGATCGAGGCCCGCAAATCTTGTACAGATAATAACATGATGCATTTTCCACCTTTCTTGAATGTGTATGTATTTTTAAAGCTATCATGTTGTGTTTTTCTGTTGAATTGCCATGGTTGTCCTAGAAAGATGTGACATTCATCCATTGGGACTACATCACACCAAACTTGCTCTTGTAGTTGATTGTCGATGGAGAATTCTTCATTGCATTGTTGATCGTTGCAAATCTTGTTTCCTTTTTATGAGCTACGTGAGAGAGTAGGATCAAATGTTTTTGCGCGTTTAAGCCTAACTTCTTTACTATTAGGGTGGATACGATATTTTTGCAACTACCGTCATCGATGATTAAACTGTAGATTTTGCCTTTGGTGGTACTTGTAGTACGAAAGTTATTGTGTCGTAGCGATGATGTATTTCTTTCGGGTTCGGACTCAAGGACTCTTTGGATGACCAATAGCTCTCCATCACTAGGGAGGGTAAGTGTTTCTTCTGAACTATTTTCAGATTGGGCTTCCTCTACTTTCTCGATTTCTTCGACGACATCTTCTTATGTAAAAGCGACAACGCGGGTGGTAGGGCAATTGGCGGGGTCATACCCATGACACCTAAAACATTTTCGTGCAGGAACTGTTTCGGTGAGACTTCCTTTTTCGGGTTTCGTGCCGGTCGAAGTGGCTGTCGTGCTTCCTAACATGGGTAGTGACTTACCAATTTTTGTTGTGGTCTTGTCGGTACATATGGTTTGAGGTGATGGTTTGTATGTCGACTGCTATCGGAAAGAGTTTTGAGATTTGGCTTGCTTCTGCTGTTGTTCTACTTTTAATGCGAGGGTCTGGATATCGTTTAGCGTCCAGTATGGTTGGAGTTGGACAATGTTGCTAATGACGAGTTTTAAACCTCTGAGATAACAGACGATTGTATGCACCTTTTGATTGAACAGGGTGCATGTCATCTGTAGATGATGGAACTGCGCTATGAATTCCTCGACCGACAGGTCACGCTATTGCAGGCTGTGGAGCCGGAGGAACATATCTTGGCGATAATGGGGCGACAACTATTTTTTTTGTATTGCCTTATTCATTTTGGTCCACTTAGTAATTTTGTCGTCCCCGTCGCATTGTTTTTGTCTTTTCAAATTGTCCCACCATAACAATGCACTTTTCTTTAGTCTTATAGCTGCAA